AAATGCATCTGAGAACTAGCTGGCACATAGCAGAGGTTCATTGAATCTGAGGAAGTAAACTGGCATCCTGAGGGCTGTATTTGCCCACCCTGACTTTTTAAAATGTTGACTTTGAATAGTCATTGTGAGCTCTCCAGCTTGTATTGAGGGCCAGGCTATTCTTAAATATCCTCCATATTTTGTCCTCGGAAGTAAACATAACCATTACCCTTATTTTCCAGAGGAAGAGAGTAAGATAAGGAAATATGTCTTTGGTTATATTTTGTAGCTAAAACCTTCATGTGAATCCCAAAGGAGTTAGTGCCTCTCAGTTCATCCTACTACCCTGTTTCCCCGAAAATAAGACAGTATCTTATATTAATTTTTGCTCCCAAAGATGCGCTAGATCTTATTTTCAGGGGATATCTTATTTTTTCCATGAAGAAGAATACGGTACACATTTATTGTTAAATGAAAATAAAAGAAATTTATTACCTGTATACGGTACAGTAGTATGGTAGTTGTCAACACAAACCAGACAAACTGTGAATCCTACAGTATCAAGAATTTACCCATTTATTCAATGACAATCATGTCATCATCTTCTGGAACATCATCATAACAATCCAATTCCTGAATTTCCTGGGGAATTTCCTGTGACTCCATTTCTTTCAGAATCAGTGGACCAAATCTCTCATGTTTAGCAATAGCACTGTCTTTAAATGAGTACTTCTTGACAAGGTAGCCTGCTCGCAGTGCATTTGTAATGCAACTGTCAGTGATTTTCTCCTATGAATTCTTCACCCAAGTCACAACTTCTTGCAGTTTAGGTTTCACAGTTTCCACGCTGATTTCTCTCCATTCTATTTTCAATGTAGTCATTAATTTCCATGCGCAAATTGTCTTTGAATGGCTTGTTTATTGAATTATCAAGAGTCTGGAGATAGGCCTTACTTTCGGGGGGATGCTTTATATTTCACTCAGAAGGAAACCTGTAAGTAGGTCTTATTTTTGAAGGATGTCTTAATTTCAGGGAAACACAGCAGAATCCGAATGAGGCACTTTCACATGAGCTGGCGAAGCAGCAGAGTGGATACAATCGTGGCTTCTGGAGCCAGGCTCAGCTCCTAGCTCCACTGATTACTAGTTGTGCAACCTTGTGCAGAGGAAGACAACTTTTCCCTTCTAGATTTTTTGGCTGGTTTAATAATTGCCATGACAGATAAACAGAAGAAAAACAAATTTAATTTATTACATATATAGAAATATGAGACTCAAAGAATTGACCATAGCAGGCAGCTTTATACATTTTAGACAAAGAAACAACACATTTGTAAAGAACTGACAAAAGCGTTTAGGCTTGGGATAGCGTTTAGGCTTGGGATAGAGTGGAGAAGTATCAGTTGTTTTTTTGTTTGTTTGTTTGTTTGTTTTTTATCCAGCTTTCTCAGCCCTGAATTCCCTATCTCTAGTGATAAGGATGTTACTCTACCTTCCTGGTACAGGGAGGGTACCTTTCAAATGGATGATTTATTTCCTGTTTTCAGGGGGGATGAAGGAAGCTCAGAGTGTCCTTACATTGGCTTTTTCTCAAGTAACTTTAATTCAGAATAATCAACATGCCAAAATAGTATGTTTGGGGATAGTATATTCTGCACCTTCTCACTTGGGAAAGTTACCTGTGTGTCTCAGTTTTCTAGAAAATGGGGATAATAATAGCACCACTTTCATGGCTTTGTGAGGATTTGATAAAATGCTTGGTGTAGCTCTAGACAGTTTGGTTCAGTGGATAGAGAATTGGCCTGAAGACTGAAGGGTCCCAGGTTTGATTCAGGTCAAGTACACACATCCAGTTGAAGGATATGCAGGAGGCAGCCAATCAATGGTTCTTTCTAATCATTGATGTTTCTATCTCTCTCTCTCCCTCTCCCTTCCTCTCTGAAATCAATAAAGATATATTTAAAAGTGAAAAAAAATTTAAAATGTTTGGTGTACAGATAAGTCCTTAATAAGTACCTGTCATTATGGATGTCTTATATCCCCTGTATTTTCCCCACTATTCCCACCCTGTCACTCATTTATGTTAGCCGGTGCAAACCTGAATGCCTTTAAGGAGAAGAGAATTGGCAGAAATATGCTGAGTGGCCAGATTATTATGACCTCTGAACGAATAACCTGGCCATTCAGTGTATATCCTATATAATAAAAGGCTAATATGCAAATATCCCCTCAAGCAGGAGTTCGACCAGCAGGCAGGCTGGCCAACCGCCCATGTCCCCTCCCCCTGGCCAGACTGGCTGGACCCCACCCATGCACAAATTCATACACTGGGCCTCTAAAATATATATAATATATACTGAGTGGCCAGATTATTATGCATTCAGAGATCATAATAATCTGGCCACTCAGTGTATATGAGTGACATCTGGTATGAGGGAGACAAGCTAAAGAACAGAAATATGGGTGGCTTGCAAGGAACCGGACAGTATATAATGCGTAAAAATATTCAAATGGGACAAATTTAAAAAATGTGCCAACCAACGGATTAAGGGTGGCTCTAGTTCATTTATTGTACTTGCTTGGTTTTTGAGGTTATCTGGGTCTATTTTGTAGCTTATACTCTCATGAAGGCCCCAAAGAAGTCAGAGGTACTCAAACTCATTTTTCTCTAGGCATAATCAAGCACTTTGTAAAACTGATACAGATAAAAACTTTTAAGCTCAGATGCTTCCCCCCACCTTCCACATGAGCTTTAGGTGCAAAAGTGTGGCATTTTAGCAAAATATTATGTTCAACGACATTATATATAGTTACAAAAACACTGGAGGGCAGTGCATAGCACATAGAAGAATCTCTTTTTGTTGTGCCTCTCTGATTAACCTTAAGCTGGGGAGACAAGGCATGACGAGATTGTGCAATTAGGTTCTATGATATCACCTGCAAATTTAGATGGCTATAACATCAAATACAACTCCAGATAATTCTATCAGAAATTCATTTTTAAAAGGCCTTGTTCTTCCATAAACTTATGTAGAGAGCTGGTGGCCTCTGTTCCTGTGACTTTTAGGATTCACCAAGGCAACATGGTGGTGAGCACTGTAGATGGAGGTGGGCTTAAATTCTGGGACATCAGACCTGTGTGCTGGAAGAGAATAGCAAGTGGGGAGGACATGATGACAACAGACATTTATCCAAATGGGCCAGATAGGATCCAGGAGCATTGTGACAGTGGTAGGAGGCCCAGGCAGGCCCTGGAGGTTTAAGTAGAATGGAACACAGAAAATAGAATTCAGGTGGGTGACACTAGGCAGGAAAAAGGAGGCAAACACCCACATTCCTGAATCTGAATGGGTGGTCCTAACCACTGGCTTGCAAACAGGGTCCTAACCACTGGCTTGCATATCATGCAAAGAGGGAGGGTTCCAACTAACATGGAAGCAGGTGCTTGGAGAACCAAGCCACCAGCTACAGTGGAACTTGGCTATGTCCTATTTGCATTTTTCTCTCCTAATAAGCTTATACTGAAAATCATTACAGAAACAGAATTCATGTACCAGAAATCTTTATTTTTCACCTATTTTTTTCTTTGCATGCTTTGTTTTGTGTTTTGAATACTTTGAACCTACGATGTGAAGCATATTTGATTTTAGAAGTTTGTCTGAATTCAGTTCCTCAGCCCCACTGAAATGGGGGAACTCAGAAAAGCACCCCTCATTAGTACGTTTCACCAATCAAAAAACATTACAAGCTTACTAATATAAGAATTTATAAAGTTATGTTACACACTTGAACTACTTTCTCAAATAGAAAGAAATAAAGCTGACTTGACATGAATAGAGTAAAATAAATTTTATAAACGTAGAAAAGAGGAACTATACCGCTAGCTAATAATGCTTAAATGTTTCTCACGGGACACTTCTCATTTGAGAGACGTCTAGTCTTGGTAATATCATCATTATTTGGTTAAGATCTTCTCCATTTTGCAATTCAACTTTCAGGATTTTATGCCAAGAGGCAGACATAAGGCAGCTTCGCCCCCCTTTCCCCACCTCTTACCATTACTTACCTTTCTTCTTAATTCAAAGAGGTAAACATGAGTTTCTTTTTTTTTTTTTTTGCCTCTTTCATTTTATGCATCTGGCCTTTTGCTAAGTTAGGGAGCTTTGACTCAGGCGATCCCAAAGAAACAAACCACCTTACATTTTTAGTGCTTGGAACGTTGGACTACCTGGGTTGTTTTAAATGTACAGAGGCAGGTTTACTCGGAATTATCCAGATCACTGCCCCATTTTCTGTTTCAGCAGTGAGAAATAACTGTCCTTTCGCTCTCGATGGAGGCTGCGGGTCAGTCCCTCCGGGGATTTGCACATCCCTTTTCCCCTTTCATTCCTAAACCCCGCTCCCCCCCAACCCCGCTCCCAGAGACCCGCACCTCCCCAGCAGCCCCCATCACCTAGAGCTCACGCTGACTGCAGCGGGCTCTAGGACCGCGAGGGACGCCGGCAGGAAGCGGCGCCTGGCCAAGCGCCGGGCAGGGCCGGCTCGGGAGCTCCCCGCAGGCGCGCTCCGGGAGGGAGGGGCGTGCGCAGGGGAGTGGGCGGGGCTGCGCGCGGGGCGGTCCGGGCGCGCGGCGGGTGGGCGGGGCGGGGCGCGCCGCCGAGCCGCGCAGCCGCGGAGCAGGCGGGGCCGTAGGGCCTCGGCGGCGCCCGCTCCCCAGCGCGCTGGGCGGGGTGTGTGCCGGGCGGCTTCGCGGGCAGGCGCGGGCCCCGAGGCGGCGGCTGCGCGCCCTGCGCCGGGGAGGAGCCGGGGGCGGGCGGCCGGCGGGAGGGGACTGGGGCCCGCGGTGGGAAGTGCCGGAGCGCCGGCGGCGACGACGGCAGCGTTGGCAGTGCCGGCTCGGTGCGTGGGTCCGCGGCGGCTCGGGGTCCGCCCGCGGGCTGCGGTGCGAGAGGGCGGCCCGGCTCCCCTTCTCTCCCGCCCGCCGTCACCGCTGTGATTGGGTGGAAGATGGCGCTGGGCGGATGGAAATCCTAATGACAGTCTCCAAATTCGCCTCCATCTGTACCATGGTAGGTGCGGCGGGGGGCGGCCCGGGACCTCCGGGGCGGGCAGGCGGCGGGCCCGTCCCCGCCCTCCGGCGTCCGCGGGCCCGGAGGGGGTGTGGGCAGCGGGGCAGTTGGACGGCGGCGGCGGGCGGGGAGCGCGGGGATTAGCGGCCCCGTGGACGGAGCGGCGCGAGGGTGACGGGAGGGGGGTGCCTGCAGGTCGTCGCGGGGGGCGGGCCCCGCTGAAGTCTCCCGGGCGCGGGGCCGAGCGGCGGGCGCACCGGGCTGGAGGCGGCCCGGCCGGGCCGGAGGGAGGAGGCTCCGGCGCGCTCCGCTGCGGTCCGGCCGCCTGCGGAGCCGGGAGCTGGCCCGGGCGCGGCGGGGGTCCGCGGCGGGCGGGCGGGGGCTCACTCCGGCCCGGGAGGACGGAAGTCCAGGGCAGACTCCCTCCTGGCGCCCCGGCCCGGCCGAGTCCCCCGAGCCGGTGCTTAGGGAGAGGGGTGTCCGTGAAGATGGAAACTTTAAATAAGTGCTGTGGAAATTTTCTCCATTACCGCTCTTTCCCTTACCCAACCTTGTGTCCAGGTGGCAGTCTTGTCTTTGGGAATCCACGTTCGTGCCACACGCAGCTTAAGCTTTCCTGTCATTTGTTTACTCGAATCTACCAGGCGCATCTGTGTGTGGCTTGAAGTATTCCTATGCAGGGACTGGCTGCAAAATTATGGTCTGTGTTCTCTTATTGGGGTTTCTAAATAGACTTTAAAGGCAAAGTGCTAATGCCTGTTGAAAAGTCCCAAGTGAAGCAAAACGGTGGGTGCATGTAAATCTCGGTGATTTTGTGCTTAGCCAGGAGGACCACAATTTCCCACCGATGGGCACATTCGTTTCAAGCTCTTTACAAGCTTACATCTGAGAATTATAATTATGGGCCATCACAGAGAAAAAGTTATTCTTTTCAGCGTGAGCCTGGTAATTATGTTTTAAAAGAATTTTGAAATCTTTCCTTACGTTTTGTCTTACTAGCCTTTTTATTTTTATGCACCCGACTTCGTATAGGAGATCCCCAAGCAATCTTCCATTTAAGGGTGGTATATTTTATATACCTTTTAAAAAAGAAGTGGTGAATCAGATCCGCAAGATGCTTTAGAAGCAGATTCTATACTGCATGCTGATGAACAGTATTAAAAAATGGCTGAAATCAGGTGGGATTAAAACCTACAGCAGTGATTTTCAACCTTTTCATCTCATTGCACACATAAACTAATTACTAGAATTCTGTGGCACATGAAAAATTTATTTTTTGTGCTCTGGCAAAAAAATAGGTATACTTTTAATTCATTACACTGATGGCTATTGTAGTGGCTGTTATCACTTTTTTTATTTTACAGTCTAGGAAAAGAGGTCAATGCCCTGACTAAATAATTAGATATTGTAGTATGTTTTTAAAATTCTCGTGGCACACCGGTTTAAAATCATTGATCTACAGGATATTAGGAATCATATTGAAGAATGAGTCATTGGTGAATTCATTTCCTCAAATAGATGTTTGTTTTTCTCACAATTTGTATTTTAGGAGGTATTGATATTAAAGGAACTATATTAACATGATTTTTGAGAGTCAGTTAGATTATTTTTAGATATTCCAGTTATTCTATTTCAGAAGGAATATGATAATTAAGTCTTTGAGAGTGATAATCTTGTCAGATTGCTGAGCTACACAGATTGTTGGGTCATAAGTTCATTGTCAAAGTCTCATTCTTCGGGAGTGATGTGTTACTCTTTACCAACCTTTCATTGACTTGGGTATATCAGGTATACATTTGGCACCCACTAAGGCCCTTGTTGGCAAACTTCGGCTCATGAGCCACATGCAGCTCTTTGGCCCCTTAAGTGTGGCTCTTCCACAACATATCACAGCCTGGGCCAGTCTATTTTGAAGAAGGGGCATTAGGAGAAGTTTAAGTTTAAAAATTTGGCTCTCAAAAGAAATTCAATTGTTGTACTGTTGATATTTGGATCTGTTGACTAATGAGTTTGCCGGCCACTGCTCTAAGGGCTAAATACTGCTGAATGTTAGGTAAAGAGCAGTGATCAAGACAGCCTCTGCTTTCATGGTGTTTATAATGTAGTTGAGGGAGACACACAATATTCAAATGAAAATATTAGTGAATGCAAAATATATTATAATCAGATTAGGAAAATGAGGCACAGAGATTTGCCAAGTCAAACATGAGTAAGTGGGATTCTGATCTCAAGAACATAGACTCCAAAGCTCTTTCTAGGGCTTCTACTCTGGGGCATTAATTATATATGATGTCTGTGTAGTATTGGCAAATACAAAAACACCAGTGCCGGGCCAAATGAGATTGTTTCAAAAGTAATGTTAAAATTGTGTGTGTGTGTGTGTGTGTGTGTGTGTGTGTGTGTGTGTGTGTATGTGTGTATATATATATGTATATATATATTTTTTTTAATAAAAGTATATTTTATTGATTTTGTACAGAGAGGAAGGGAGAGAGATAGAGAGTTAGAAACATCGATGAGAGTCATCGATCAGCTGCCTCTTGCACACCCCCTACTGGGAATATGCCCGCAACCAAGGTACATGCCCCTGACCGAAATCCCTTCAGTCCACAAGCCGACGCTCTATCCATTGAGCCAAACCGATTTCGGCTATATTTATATTTTGTTGTGCTTCCAAAGTAATGCTAAATATCTAAAAGTAATTTGCAATTTTATCCTTTAAAGAAAACTGTAACTTACCTTCTGAGAATTACAAAATTAACAATCAAGGAAAATGAAGATATTTACTTCTGTGCTTTTATAAATGCTATTTTTCTAGGTTTTGAACACTCCGTCTCCCCCTTTGTCTAGTAAATTCATACCTGTCTGTCAAGCAGATAGCCTTACCTGAAAAATCGTACCCCTGTCCATCCCCATCCTGCATTCTCCCTTCATATAACTTAACTGCATTTTTGTTATCTCAGTAGCACTTATCATATGTAATGTGTTGTACATTTCCCTCTTATCTGCTTTTTAGATTGTGAAGGCTTAAGGGGAGGGACTGTCATTTATTTCTGCCTTTTGAGGGAGCACTAACTTCTGCATATAATAAAACAGTTTCCAGAGTCCTTGATACCTGAGTGAAGTGAGTTTGGTTAAACATGTATGAGGTTGAAGGTGTGTGTGGAGTGATGGAGAGAAGAGGGGCTGGACGTAAAGAGAATGATAGTTCTCAGAGAATCAGCAGCTGTGGAAACACTTATGATGAATTAAAATTTTATTCTGTAAATAATAAAGTTCACATAATTTTTTCATTTGTCAACATAAGTTTGCAAATTGGCAGTATCTTAATTGGGTTAAATAGCTGTGTTAATAGAAAATCTTTCAGATGTGTCTTTTTTTTTTTTTATCACTGTTCTGTTTACCTGTGAAAATTAGTTTGCTTTACTTAAGTTAGAGTCAAATGATTGGTTATGTTTAGATTGCCTTGAATAAATTTGCAAAGATATCTCTAGAAATGCCTCTTGTTATTTGTTCATGAAAAATACATTTTCACTATCACATAGTGTTTATTTGGCTACTGAAGTAATTTGAGACTTTCAGGGCCTGGCACAGAGTTGCTACCCAATTTTTAATATTGTACTTAATAATGATGAAATAATGGGAAAAGTGGCCAAAACCAATGAGAGGCCTATGCTTTGAAATTGAGATGGAAGTTCTAGAGCGGTATTTGGTGGCCTAGGATTAGAGAGTATAGTATGGATCCTGGCCATTAATGGAGACAGAGCTCCGTAAATGTTCACTCGTTCCCACTGTGATAATTATTATCCCTTCCTATGTGGTGGTTATAGGAGTCATAGTTGGGAAGGGATTGTTGGGGAGGGACTGGATAAAGGAGAAGTTGCTGCATGGGAAGGTAGGCAGATCAAGAGGTGGCACTGGCCTGGCTGCTTGCCCACTTGCATCCACGGGGTGAGATAGGTCTGTTAGAACGTGGTGTAGGTGAGGCCAAGGCCACAAGTTAGCTGATTAGTGGATCTAACAGGTTTACCTTGAGCAAGCTTGTATATACCGTGTTTCCCCGAAAATAAAACATCCTCGGAAAATAAGACCTACTTAAAGGTTTCCTTCTGAGTGAAGTATAAGGCATCCCCCCGAAAATAAGGCCCCCCCTAGGCTCTGTCTCAGAATGAAAATTAATTTACCATAAACTGGTCGCTAGGGCTGCCCCGACTGGCGTTTAGCAACCAGTGACTTTATTTGGAGTCCTGACGTCACTGCTGTGTGGAGGCGGAGTGGAGGTCAGAGTGAGCAGTGAGCTTGGGGCGGGAGAGGGGAGGAGACTTTCGCAGATGCCTGTAGAAAATCAGGAGGATTAGAGCAGACAGGACATGGCGAAGGTGGTGAGTGCCGGTCTGTCTCTGGTGACACTACCTGATGCTCACAGCCGCCCTCATGATGACTGAAGGTTCTCAGTCAGTGGCAGACCCTGCTCCAGCCCAGATCCAGGCCCCAGCAAGCCCAGTGACAGTCCCCAGGCAGGCCCCAGGGGGTAAATGTCTGATAAAGGGATTGGGGAGACATCTGGTGAAGGTGTTCGGTGGCACAGGGGTGGGGGAAGGGAGATCACTTAAAACGACACAGGAGGATCAGAGGGAGCAATCAAAATGACACAGGAGGATCAAAAGGGGTTACTAAAATGGTAACCCCCCCCCCCCCGACTCTCCTGTGCCATTTTGACTCCCCCCCTCTGATCCCCCCTGTGTCATTTTAAATGATCCCCCTCCCCCCACCTTGATACCCCAATTCCTTTTTTTTTACCCCTAGAAATGAGTGTAAAAAGAAAAAGCTACTTGGTGGAGTATAAGAAAGGAATCGTGGAAGATTCTTGGGGCCAAAATCTTACTGCTTTCTGCAAAGAGAAGATGTTGAGTATCTGATTGGTCCGAAAATGGCGAGCAGAGTATGGTAACCTCATTGAACAAGTGGACAAGGGAAATGTTAAAAAGCACAAGTGTGGA